CCTCCTCGGCTATGGCTTCCTTCGCTCTGCTCGGTCTCTCCCTCTGTCCTCTCTTTCACCCTCCATCGTTTCTCTGTGGTCGAGCTCCGCGGCTATGGCCGCCTCTTCACTTCGTGGGACTGCACGACGCACTTCACAGGTACGTGACAACCAAACTTGTATCGCTCATCTCTCCCCCCCCCCCTCTCTCTCTCTCTCTCTCTCTCTCTCTCTCTCTCTCTCCGTAGCAATATCTTCAACGCAGGTATGTGGTAAGCCAATCTTGTATCGCTCAACCGTTCTCTCTCCCAGCGCCCACACAACTCTCCGTTCGCACACACAGGATCACCCTGGATATCCCACACGCGATACTATGTACACACACACACACACTAGACTCTAGCTACAGCTATGGCGGCTATGGCCGTTGCTAACCTATCGCTATGGCTAAGCTTCTTCTCTCTGGCCCACTTCGTCTTCAGGCTCACTGCAGACCACCTCGCACAAGTCGCTTGTGGCAGCGCTTCCGCATGGCTCACACATGAATGAATGAATGGTTGGGCGCTGCCCCTTGATTTATACTTCTGCAGCTCATTGTTCTGGCCCTTTCCCATGCCCATAGTGCACACAGTCCCATGCGGTCCTTGCTTGACTGGACTAGGACTGACTGGGACTGAGACTGCTGACTCAGCGCGGGTAGACTTGCCCACTTGCCCACTTGCCTCAGCCTAAACATAGGCAACTTCGAAAGGCCACTACTCGGACCTTCCGGAAGGCCGTAGACTTGGCCTTTCGATACTGTAGCAGGTACGACCTTGACCTTTCTGGACTGTAGCAGCAACGACCTTGACCTTTCGGGAGAACTACAGCTACGACTTCTAGACCCTGCTAGGACTCCTACCCGACAGGTCTACGGATCGAACCCCTACTGCCTACGGACCCTACGACAGTCTACCAACTGTTACAATACACAGGTCACGGGTTCAACTCTAGGGTTCGACACAGATACTATACACAAGTAAGGTGAGGACTAGGGATCGAGCCCTGGGATCTGCATCGGCTACTGCGAACTGGTGAATATCATTTCATCTTCACCTCACTCCGGCAAGACTTACTGCAGCAGAGCCACCATCTCTGCTGCTGCTATACCCTATTTCCATCCTACCAGCTAGCCCCTTCACTAGATATCCCGCCATCTACTTCCAACACCAACCAACGTCTTTCTGACCGCAGATCTATGAATATAACAGCATCTCGAGACCACCAGAAACAATCGACAGACAATTTTGAAGATCTGGGATATCGGGGCCATTACCCGGCTTTGGTGAAGAAAAATTGGAGCCAGATTAAAAATTACTATGGCAAAATTCAGAAAATAGGCAAGACTTCAGGAACCGCCTCTGAAAACCCCATCCATCCTCTTTACCTCACTCCGACAAGACTTACTGCAGCAGAGCTACCATCTTCGCTGCTGCTGTACCCTATTTCCATCCTACCAGCTAGCCGCCTCACTAGTAGGACGCTTGATATCCCACCATCTACTTCCAACACCAACCAGCGACGTCCTGGCATTGAACCACTTCAGATCTATGAATATAACCGCATCAGAAAAGCCCACAGTGAGTAGCAAGAACCCCCCAAATCCTGAAGTGATCTCAAAACCACCAGAAGCGAAAAATGAGACCCAAATGGGATTATCTGGAAGCCGATACAACCGAAAACATGCTGCCCCAATGCTATCAATGGACTATCTCACGGCTGCCTCAACCCACATATCGAAGATACCAAGCTCTTCCAGGCCCCAAACCCCCAACCGCTGGGTTATAGGGCGGCGCGACCCACCCCAGCTTCGACCCGCGTCGTCCTAATACCAGCTCGCGGTTAGCCACTGGACTGCCTTCCACCCTCGGCAGTTCCCCAGATCTCTCTACCAGGCCTCTAACCCCCGCATACTCAGGTTACAGGGCAGCGCAACCCAACCCCAGCTCCGGCCAGCGTCGTTCTGGCATCGACCAACCCTAACCTTATGGACATGATGGCGATAACCCACCGTCGGATAATCTGTTGAAAACACCGCAGCAGCTAAGGCTTTGAAATACCCGACTTCCTCCATGCACCAGTTGCGCTCAACACCCCCAAACCACCTGAAAACTCCCCCTGACCCCCCTCCGGCAAGACTTATCACAACGGAGCCACCACCTCCGTTGCTGCTGTGCCCTATTTCAGTCCTATCGACTGACCCCCTCGCCAGCTGGACACGTCACCTCCCTCCCACTACTAACCCCTCTCAAGCAGGAGTATATCACAACGACCAGTGCAACAACAAGACACCAGAATACCGTCTCAGGCGAGTCGAAACATCAGGACAAACAAGATTCAACAAATTCACGAGACCATTGAAATTCTAAAAAGTTAGAGATCACTATTCAAGATCAGAGACAAGGCTCTGATTTACGATCGTCAATATGAATCGAGAGTTATTCAGAAATTTGAAGATCATTCATGAATCCAATATCGAATCAGATTCGTGGATTACTCTTCACGAGTTCATTGAGAATCTAAAAAGTTAGAAAACATATTCGAGATCATAGGCGAAACTCTGATTTACGATCATCAACATAAAAGGATCAAATCGAGAATTATTCAGAAAATTTTGAATTCATTCATGAGTCCGTTGTCTTGAATCAAATTAGAATTGAAAACCTAAAGCTTCCTGTCATGAAAAGACCAAATAGACAAATCCAAAGGATTAGATTTGAAAACCAGAGATTAGAAACATTCATTCACGAGTCCGCTGTCTTGAATCAAATTAGGATTGAAAACCTAAAGCTTCCTATCATGAGAAAATCAGATAGAAAAATCCAAAAGATTAAATTAAAAAACAAGAGATTAGAATAAAAAATCGGATTTACAATCATCTGAAAATCAGAATCGGGTTACTATCTTGAAGGTAACTCCCAAAAAATGAGATTAAAACGAAAAAACGAAGGTCACTCAAGCCACGAAGAGCAAAACTATTGATCGAAGTATATAGACTAATCTCTCACCATGATGTGTCTGTCTCCCCCAAACCTTCACCCCCTGCCTTATCGGCCCGAAGGCAACTCAGCCATCACATGGCCACACTCTCGGTCATCAAAAAAGGACTGAACAATAAGGACTAAACGGACCGTGGCTTCACTTTACCCCTCACATGCCACGTAGCAAGACAAAACCACCGAACCTGCCGGTGACCCCTCATTGGTAGTCCGGGGGGAAACAGACCTTCCAAGCCCTTCGTTGCCCTTCATCTCCTGACTCTTTCGTTAGACGCGTGACACCCCGCCATTCGTAGCTCTGATGATGATGCTGGCAGACCCTACCCTTCACAGCCCTTCGCAGTAGCCTCATCCTCTACGCACGATGCATCACCCTTATCACCATCCTTCCCATCATCGTCCATCACCCAAAACTTCTCAACCACCACCTCACACCACCACCCCGAATCCACTTCCCCTGGCACCGCACCGCCGCTTGTTGCCGTCCAGCGCCGCTTGATTCGACTTCGCGTTGCTCCGCCGCATGTCACCGCTCGGCGCCGCTCGGTCTGACTGCGCGGGTGAGGCGCAGCGCTACCGGCCGCGCTGCGGCATATAAGATTTTATTAAAAGACTGCTGTTGCTGTCAATTTAACTCAATTATGAATTGCGCTGAGGACAGTGCTGTGAAATATAAACTGTGCTTGTTTAGCTTTTTTTCCTCTTTTCTTTTCTGCCAATGGAAAGCGAGCCACACTATAGGAAACCAAAAACGGAATCACACTGACACTCCGCAGAAAAAAAAGGAAAGGAAAGGAACCATAGACTGATCTCTTGCATGGGAGTGGCCATAGACCCCAGTTCAACCACCACTAATTGGTCAGACCCAGGGCCCATGTGCATGAATGGTACACACGGGCAACTCTTAGTAAAACAGATCATGAGTTCAAGTCCTGATGGAATCAGATGAATAAAATAATGTGAGGGGCTATCCCCCTTTAACACGCACACGCACACGCACACACAAACACACACACACACACACACACACACACTGTCACACCAAAAACGCACACACACAGACACACACTGTCACACAGAAAAGAAAAGAAAGAGGTCAAAGTCCCTTCAAGCAGGTGCAATTTTTTCGGTTTAAGGCCACAAGTGAAGAGACGCACCGTAAGAAGACGCATTCTCTCCTTCTGTGCTGCTGTAAGTCTCTCGCCTCTCCCGCTGGGTGCAATTCCCAAGCTGTTTCCCCCCGATGCCAGTTTTCTCTTCTTTCTCTGCTCACTCTTCTCCAGCAGCTCAACGTATTTGGCTTTGATCTCTTCCAGATACTGTTCGGGATTGGCTCTGTTTTTTTTGTTTTTTTTTTTGAAACACAAATTGTGATCACGGTAAGAATTTCCTTGTTAATGAAGAAATCGCAATCTTTGCAAGGTGGTTTATTTTGGTCTCGCTTTTTTTTTTTCAACTCACATGCGCATCATTGAAATAGAAAGAAAAAGCTTAAAAAAGTTAAAAAAACTTATTAAAAAAAGACTCCAAAACTAGGCTACCAGAGTGGCCCGGGACCACTTGCCCGACTGGGCCAAAAAAAAAAAAAGATTTATTAAATTAGTAAATTTATTTTTTACTATTAATTTGGATAAGAATTTCGATGTGACCCTGAGACAAAAGTTGTTTTTCTTCAGATTTTCTTCTGCGAGGATTTGGTTCCTCGACAGGCCTAAGGGGCCCCTGATACAGATGTGCCCGCCCTAAGTGAAGGCGGGCCTAACAAATCACGAGAGGCCCAATGCTGTCAATTTCGTATATGGGGTTCAGGCAGCTGTGTCGCGTCAGTTGGTTGAGGGAACCCAGGCCCCGAGCAACAAAGACTTTCCACGGCCTTCTAGGCCTTTTCTGAAATGCAGGCCCTGGGCAGGATTCGCAGCAACATACACAGACAGTTGGGAGGCATAACTGAACGAGGCCCAGCAGCTGCAGCAGAGGCCCAGCCTCCTGGGGCCTACCGGAAGCTTCTGGGCGCAGGTCCAGCCCAGCCAGGCTGGAAGGCAGGCAGACTCTTTCCATATAGGAAAGAGCTCGCTGCCTGGAAGGGCATTCGGGCACTTGCAAGCCAGTGGCAGCTCTGCTGGAGCAGAGTCTCGTTGGCTGCTGCTTGCGCTAAGGCAAGGTGCTGCGAACATGTGGTCGTGTGCGAGGGAGGATGCTCCTGAGGGCAGCGCTGTAGCCCAGCCTCCATAGCTGGCTGGGGCTTGGATGTACAGCAAGGCGCAGGGGTGGTCTTCGGGTGTAAAGAGGGAAGACGTGGGTGAAAGTCGAGGAAGAAGGCAGGATGATGATGATGATGATGATGATGTGAGGGCACATACCTGGTATTGGCGATGGTCTGCATTGGTTGACATCTTCAAGTACTTTGTTAGCTGCTGACGTCAACAGTTGCATTGTCAATTAGCAGGCAGATAGTAGCTGTGTAGGGAGTAGGCTGGGCGCCGAGCGCCAAGTAGAGGGAAGGGCCTGGATACTTATGTTGGCGATGGCGAGAGCAAGCTCTAATTGACATTCGGTTTTCAGAGTTACGATTCTACACTGGTGTTATATTGGTGCAATGCTGCTTTCTGGACACTGGGACACTTTCTGGCTTTCAATGTGATTGTGCAATCTGGATTTTGTCATCTCGCTATTGCTCATTTTCCTTGCACTTCTTTTCCTTTCTTTTTTCTTTTTTTTACTGGGACCTTCTTTCGTCCTTGCACGGCCGGGCCGCCCTGGCAAACAAGGTGACCCGGGCGGCTCGGCTGGTAGCCTAGCTCCAAACGTTTTTAAAAAACTGCTCTGAAGAAGTTTTTCCTTCTAGAACCACGAGTACTTGAGACCTCTCCTTCATCCTCTGTGGGCCTCTGCACGCCACGCTTGAATTTGACTGGGTGCAGGCAGGCCCGTAGATCAGTGAAAGGCCCGAGCGTTAACGACGCACCTTGCTCAATCGCTGGTGGTTTCAGGGGTGTATACTCCATTCATTACTGTAAGGAACAGGGCTTGAACTCTTGATGTCTTAATCAGGAGCTATATGTACACAACATTCAGCCACCTACCGTCTTAACCCGAAAGCAAGGTATGTACCTTGTATACGAATACAAGGTACGGGGTAACTTGTGTTTGAATACAAGGTACGGGATACTTTGTGTTTGAATACAGGGTATGTTCCTTGTAGAAAGAATTTTAGGGTGCAGGTTTCCTATGGCCAGGGGCGGGATAATATATACATATATTCATCAACGTGGCGAGCCTTGTACGTGAGAGGCACAATGGAGGGGGAGTTAAAAGAAGAATGAGAAATTGAATGCTTTCAAATTTCAATGTGACCTCGTTTTTTGTTTTTCATCCTTTGTTTCGCAAAGTGCGCTCTTTTAGTTCATAGTTATGTGACAATATATAAAGGAAATACCAAATATTAGTAATAACAAGTGAACCAGCCGCCGCTACGCTGCTGCGAAGGACGATGACAAAAACATTTTGCGAAACACCGGAGCCATCAGTTGGATACCATCTTTGCAATGTACCCCTACCGGAAGCTGTCCAACTTTGCAAAATGGCCCGGCAGTTGCCAACTTCTCGTAGGTGCAATTGCAAAAGGCCAAGCGAATTTGCACACCCGCCTGACAGGGGCATAAGACAAACATGTCAGCCCAAAAGGCCATTCCACTGTGTCCATATCTTTTAGGGACATTTTGACATATATCTCAACTTATGGGGGTATTTGGCAAATTACCACTCCCCCCCAAAAAGGAGTCTCTCTCTCTCTCTCTCTCTCTCTCTCTCTCTCTCTCTCTCTCTCTCTCTCTCTCTCTCTCTCAAGGGGGAGGATGTGTGTGTGTGTGTGTGTGTGTGTGTGTGTGTGTGTGTGTGTGTGTGTGTGTGTGTGTGTGAGAGAGAGAGAGAGAGAGAGAGAGAGAGAGATTTCCATCGATTTGGTTGAGCAAGGCACCGGCCAACAGGTAAGTCTCCAACCCCGCGGCTGGCCTCACGTACTTCCATCGACTGGATGAGCAAAATCGAATGAATCTCCCGCTAGAACATCGAAATATACACTGCTTACCTCATGTTACCTGTTGGCCGGTGCGTTGCTCATCCT